TGTCGCCATATTTGTCACAACGTTTCGGCCGTTGTACGCTCCGGCCTTCTTCAGGTGGTTGGAATTTCGAACTGAACCCTTTATTTCGATCGCTGGGTAGAAATTCTAATTCCACGTGCCATGTTTGATGGATGTCAGTTATCAGTTATCTCCTGCTAATTTTCCTCAAGGACACATGGCACAGTGGATAAAGGCGTTGGTTAGATCCAGTGACAGACCCAAAGAAGGTGAGTTCAATTCCTGGTTAAGGCAGTGGAGAACTTTCAGAGGGAAAATTAGCAGGAGATAACTGATAACTGACATCCATCAAACATGGCACGTGGAATTAGAACAGTCTACCCCAGCGATCGAAATAAAGGGTTCAGTTCGAAATTCCAACCACCTGAAGAAGGCCGGAGCGTACAACGGCCGAAACGTTGTGACAAATATGGCGACAAAGATGAGGACAATAGTCCGACTAATGTAAATACGGTAATGATTTTAAAGACAAATCATACAACTCAGTTCAATGGCATTATCACAGATTAAGTATGAAAATTTTATTCCCTACCAAATCATGTTCTTGTGCCAAACACAAAAACTTAGTCTAATAGTATGTCATAATAGGCGCAAAATATCGATACAAAACAAGACTCAACCACTGCATAAAATTTTAGAAGGAAAAAACACATTCATTACACAATTACGTAAAAGTACAACTACAAAGTTTGCACAAAAATTTCCTTTTCTGTGCCTATTAAGTTTATTAGGATAAAAATTTCACATAGAACGGATTACCATCGAAAAATGGAAAAAAAATTACAGTTTTGGAAAAGACAAGTATTTTAAAAATGACAAAAAGAGAAAACCATTCAAGAAGGCAGGAAAAAAAACAAGATGCATCAACCTTTGAGAAAAAAAACAAAAACGAAAAGACCTACTATCACTTGCCCCACGAGTGTCTCTGGGACATACAGTAATTTTTGATAATTCCCTTTTAACTTTACACATGGTTCGTGCTTAGGAAAATTTCTTAAAATTCTTTTCGTTCTTAGCTGTACAACCACAAGAGAATTTTCACTTGAACTTCAAAATTATTAATCTCTTTGCAGCTGGCCGGTAACTGGTGCCTTCTTTGATGTTTTGTCCTTGATGTCAAATGCCTTCTTTGATGTTGGCCTGCCATGTCCCCATGCTGTAAAAAGTCTTCTCGTATCTACTGACTTGAGTCCACGTCTCTCATTGGTCAGTATATACGAAAAATAATTTTCCATAAACTAGAAATGGATCCTTCACAGGATTTTAACCCCGGAGCCGAAAAAGATGTATAGTAACAATTTTTACACAAACCGCTTGGCCTTGATAAAAATACACTTCTCTCAAAAGAACATGTATTAAAAAAAAAAAACTTAGACGATTAAAAAATAAAATTTTTATATGAGGCCAAGAGTACAAATTAAGTTTTTTGTTTGGTTCTTATTGCCAAGAAAAAGTGGGACGACTGAAGCCTTTCCACACCACATAGCGCCGTGTATGGCCCTATGAGTTAAACAGCAGGTTAAATTGGGCTCTGTAGTTGTAGCTGGCAATCAGTCTCTAGAAGGACAACTCAAAATTCAAAACCGTGGAGAAAGCAACGGGGAATTACGATCTTTCCAAAAAAAATCACGACAATGTACAGTTTACAGCTATTAAAACATTAAATGAAAAAGAAGTTGTGGACAGTCATGATCGCCTACATCCTAAAAGAACATGGTACGTAAAGAGAAAAAGATGGTACAAATAAAGCTAACTTTAATATTTTAAATGTAGTTGGAGTTTGTCGAATATAAAAAGTATTTATAATCCCTCTCCCACCCCACCTGGATCTTTGAGTAAAATAGTAGGGTAGATTATGAGCTCAAGCCTAAATTTGCAACATGTCTAAGAGAAAGAGAATTCTGAGTTCAAAACGGTGGAAAACGCAACCGGAACGATAAATGCATTTACAACAACAATCATGGCAATGCAGTTTCCTTATATTAAAGGAAAAGGAAGCTGTGGCGTGAAATGTACGCCTGCGTGCTAAAGGGACATAGCAGTTAAAGAGAGAACGAGAAAGATAATCATAGTACAAATAAGTTAATTTTAAAATTTGAAATACAATTAGTCTTGTCTAATGACAAAGTACAGGATGCGGCAGAAATAACTCCCACATATACCTCCCACATAATGGTAAGACATTAGCTAGATAAAGACACCATTGCCACTAATGTATTACCATTATGTAGGAGGCATTTCTGAAGGGTATATTTGGGAGTTATTTTGGGGAGGTATTTCTCTATTTATTTTCAAATAATTATAATCTTTTCCCACCTACATCCAGAGTAAAATACATGGGTAGACTAGGCTCTCCAGGTTTGGTTGGCAATCACTCTAGGAGAAGGACAACTCAGAATTCAAAACTATTGGAATCCCTATCATTCCGAAGATCAACGATTTAACAGTTTTGCAAATAAAGACAGGGAAACTGTGGAGAGATATGACTGCTTATGTCTTGGAAGGATATGGGACTTAAAAGGAGGGGTATTTGTAAAACTTCCAGTAAAAATTATATATATTAATGTACATTATGTTGGGTGGAATAGGTCTCTAACAGAACGCATAAAAGTGTGAATGCGGCTATTTCATGTTTACTAAAGCGCGTGAACGCTTCTCAGATTTCTCTGCGCATGCGTGTGTGCGCTTGCTGTGTGGGTATCTGTGTGTATGTGTGTGTGTGTGTGTTATGCGTGTGTGTGCGTGCGCACGTTCCTGTGTGTGTGATTACATATACGCATGCGCACACGTTCGTCGCTTTAATATTAAAACTAGAAATATGCAAGAACGGAAAGTCAAGTTATTTAAAGAGAAAGACAGAATTAGTAAAAGTAAAAACATCATTGACAGACATGATAACTTATTTTAGGCAGAACAAATACTTTACGTCCTGCGTCTACAGTACACACTTGCTCAACTTCCCAATCACCACAAAATAGTAAAAACAAAAATAAATAATATAGATTTGTGTTCATGTAATAATAGTAATATTTAATTTAAAAAAAGTAAATAAATGTTAAAAATGAATAATGTTATTTAAATTAAAAAGAAGGATTTTATTTAGTTTTATATCTCTTAATTCTGTGTGTCATATTTCAGAGTCATGTCATTCTTCTCTATCCCGACTCATTAATTCGGATAAAAATTATTGTTTGTAAACTTAAATTAAACATCGCTCAGCTTATTGAAATAGGAAAATAAAATGAAGTGTAATTTCTCTTAAGTTTTAGTAGATAAATAATAAATTAACTACTCTATTATTTAATTAAGCACTACTGTTATTTTTAGGCCGACGTCATAATTATATACAATAAAACTCAGTGGGCTTAACAACTGGATTATTTTCTGGGTCACGCTGTGCAAGTTAGGGATATTTCATCTTATAGGCTATATTACATCTAAGCCTTCTCTTCTACACGCAGTTCCCCTACATAAGCTCAGGTCATTTCAGTACACGAATAATATATCTTTATTTTTTTATTAATTTATTTAATCGAATAAAAATTTAATTAAATCGATACTTTCCTTGACTTACAATAGATATCTTCGATCAATCGATCCATTTTCATGTTCATGGTTTGGCGACAGAGGATGGATTAATGACTCAACAACAATGATGAGAAAATGGAAGTAACGGGGAGTTTAATTTTAAAATTCTGATTTATGGTTGTATTTCTGTAGTCATTCGCTCTCCGTAGGAGTGGTTAGTCTGGCCTATCTGATAATGACGCGGGGTTTTTAAGTTTTAAATCAATTTGTATGTGTGACCGATTTCTAAAACTCTTGCGTTTTTTTTACTTTTTTATGTCAACTGTATGCGTTCTTTCTCCAACTTGTGAAACTGACATCGAAACATTGAATATGTCTTTGGTCCTAAATTTTACTGTCTCTGGGATTCTTCTAAAATCATTTGATCATCCAATAAGTTATCATTTCTGAGTGGTATTATTTTTTAGTATTGATTGATAAATACCGCGTCTCAGTTAAGTTATGGAATCAATTTTTTTAAATCTTTTTTCCGACAAATTTTAATATTTAAAATTAATCTTTATCAGTTTATTTTATTATGAGATAATTAAAAAAATGATTAGTTTCCTTTTTAAGTTTACTTGTGATCGTCTGTTGGTAAAAAGACTAACTAAAAAGGATATACATAATTAATTGCGTACTATTTTTTAAAAAGATATCCAGATCTGAATAAGAAAAGAAAAGATATTGAAAAGCGGAGTTGTCTAAATTATTTTTTAAGTAAAAGTTAAATATAAAAGTTACTAAACAAAGAATAAGTAAAATAAACAACGTTACGTCATTTGTTAATATAAACCCATGAAATCAATACATAAAATATACAAAGTAACAAAAAGGGACTGCCAGGTAGTTTAATGTCGGGGACAACATGCCTCGTGTAGTGTGAAAATCAAAAAAGCTAAAACGCAAGACAATAAAAAAGACAGGTATCTCCATTAAAAACTGCAAACTATTGTCACCATAAGCTGACAGAGCTTATAGGCGTTAATGTAATAAAGAAAACTTTTATTTTTATTTAACACAAGAAACAAGGTTTTTGGAGTACTATTTTAAAAGAAAAAAAATCGGCTAAGAATCGTTGTCCATTATTGTGGTTATCGAAGTAAAGCATCGGTGAGACAAGTTACCCAAGGACGCTAAAGTAGGAAAGCTACATCTGGGACAGCCATTTTTCTTATTTTAGTTAATTAAGAAAAATAAGTAGTTTAACAAATATATTAATATTTTAAAAAGGATAAGGTTAATTGTTTCAAATAGTAAATATAGCATGATATTAGTTCTTTTTACTGGTTATTTTTATTTCGTTAAAAAACATAGCACCTGGTGAGGCAGTGTACCCCTCCCTGTCTTTCAGAAATAGCAGCAGCGGCTATATAGCGCCATCTACATCCGTTTTCACTAACGCGGTAAGTGTCATGGCTTCGTCTATGAATGCCTCAAACGACGACGAAGATGCTTTTGTCTATATTTTCGACAGACGGGATGCAGCCGCACCTGAAATCAAATTGCACACTGGTGGACTCTTCACCTTTAATGATTTCAAAAATAAAGTGCGCCAAGTAAGTGCTGTCCGACGCAAAAAACTCATTGTTTGTATGGGTTGGATGATATTTTATTTTTTATTTTCTGTGTTGCTAGTTATGAAGAGGGAGGAGGGGAAAGTTTTTTTTTCTTTTTTAGCTTTTCTCCTCCTCCCTCTACTCCTTGTTTTTGTCCGACTTGAGATATATACATATATACACATACGCACGCATATATATAATTAGTTTTGTACTTTGTTTTTGCGATGTTTTACTCTACTTTTATTTCCACCATATCTCAATAAAATACCTTGTCGATGCTTGAATTATTAATTCGATCTGTTTATTTGGTCCACTTACATATATCGTTTTTTTTTTTTTTTTTAATCGTCTCCCTCCCTTATCTCCATTATTCTCCTCCTTCCCTCTTTAAATATCTATCTATCTTTTTGAACATTATCATTTTCTTTTAGATTTTAGCAAAAATCTTTCTTTTTTACCAATTCTTTTTATTGTTTCTTGTTTTCAACACTTGTAAATGCTTTTTTCTCCGGCCGTATTTCTTTTTCCACAGACTTTTTTTTTCTATTTTAAACTTACTGTTTGCTATTATTGATTAATTTCTCCATTTCTTATAACTCGTCCATAAAAAAAAAAGGGGGGGGGATTAACGATGGGTACTTTTTTTTTTTTTTTTTTTTTTTTTTTCTTATTCAGACTCCGACAGTGGATGGAAAATAATCGTTTGCCTTTTAAATCTTTTAAAAGTATTATTAATTAAACTGTCAGCCTAATTAAATCAATATTTACCCATCCTTGTCTTCACAATCCGTTTTTCTCTTTTTGTTTTCGCTATCAGATCGAATTGCACTTCGATCGGCAAACATAAAAAGACTTTCTTTTGTTTGGGTTTTAATGATTTTTCTAAAGCTTGCACAACTATTCAGTGCAATGATCTTTTTTTTTTTTTTTTATCCCCCTAAATGGAACAAACGTAGAAATTTTCTGGTTTAATGCTTTTAGCTGATTTTGGTGATCAGTATCGTTGCTGTGAGTGATAGATATCCATCTATATATCCCTTTCTACTAATCTCTAATGGGAAAAGCACGACGTGACCCATTTTCGTAATACGGAAGCCTAAACTTGGAAGTCCGAAGTTGAATTTTCTGATCGTAATTAGAGTAAAAGAGACGGATATTAAAAAATTAATGTCTATTTATTTCAAATTTAGGTTATTTAATTTTTATCATTTAAAACAATTTTCTGCATGCCAAGCATTGATTTACCTCCCTTACATCCCACGTAATCTTTTCTTTAAGCGAACCTCATATTCGGAGTCCTCCTTTTGGATATGAAGTCATGTGTTTTTATTTTGGACACATCATACACACACACACACACATATATATATATATATATATATATATATATATATATATATATATATATATATGTGTGTGTGTAAGTAAAACTAAGATTTAATTTATGCTTTTGTAACAGTCTAAGAATTTTATAAAATGAAACTAAAGGGGTCTTATATTGCACGAAAACAAAATGAAAACTTTCTTTTTAGTTAGTAAATAAGATATTTTCGAGCAAGTAAAAATGTGTAAGATTCTGGGAACAACTTCGCTGGGGGCTTCTCGTAATATAAGAAGCCTAATTTTAAAAAAATACTAGGTCATAAGATAAATCGATGTTTGGATTCATTACAAAGATCGTTTCAAACACTAATTTATCGGAACCATAAATTTATTTTAAAATCCCTATTTTTAGACCGGAATGCTTTTTCCACGTGCTTTTTATTTTGCTTTAATACACAAGCAAAAAATGCAAACTTTTGAACCCTGTTAAAACTGCAAAATGATCTTATCAACAATTTCGCAAACTAAAATGCATAAGACATGTTTTGAATTTCTTTTCATCATTAAAATTATATAAAATTTCGTAAACATGGACTTCTTGTCCATACAGCTGAAGAGGAATCGTAACTTTTTATTTTTTTATTAAGGTCTTCCGTACCCTTAAAATGGGTCATGTCTCATACCCTTAAAAAACTAAAAGGTGCTGCTATTGTTACAATTCTTATGATTAGTCTTTGGTTTGAGGTGTGTACGTGAGAATTAACATTGTTTATCTGTTAATGGTTTCTACAATTTGGTTAACAATACTTATTTTTGTTGGAGTTGCATAACTACATTTTTTAAGTCCCTTCGGTTTGTTTAAATTAATTGTTCTTTCAAATAATTATCAAATTATTAACGGTTAACGCATTAAATACGATTATTACATCTTTTTTTTTTTTTTTTTTTTTTTTCTTAGATGAAACCTTCATTTCTGATGTTGCAAACAAAACGTTTTTTATCTCTTTGGCGGTGGTCCTTAAATTAACAAGACAGGCATTCTACACATTCAGTATTATAATCATCTTTCTTTACTAAACTTCATTTGTGCGAAATTAATCACGGTTCTTTAATTTCACGTCTTTATTCATCTTCTTAAATAATTTGTTCTCTCCCTCCTCAATTCTTTTACCTCGCTTTTTGTTAACTCTTAGTTTTTAACTTTATTAACAGTTGAAAAGTGAAAGTAATTTTTTTTTTTTTCTTTTTTTGTAATCTTCATTAAAAAAAAAAAAAATAATAATAATAATCCGTAATATCGGAAAAAATGTAATTTTTTTTAGCAACCTGTTGTTATATTTTATGAAAATATTTACAAATAATGATAAATTCTTGGATTCAAAGAAACTTGATTTTAAAGTTTTTTTGTTTGACTTGTTTTTGTTTTTCTGCTACTGTTTCAAAATCCTGAAAAAAAAATGGTAAACTTTATTGATAAGCAAAGTTTTTCTCTGATAAAAGTCAGGGTTAATCACAATTTCGTTAAAAAAGAAAAAAACATCTTAAAAACTATAATAAAAATAGTACGCTCTCATCTCTACTAAAATGGCAAAATATTTCTCAACATGTCCAAACGAAAGTCTTTTTTTTTTTTTTTTTTTTTTTTTCTTCTCACAATTTGTTTTATTGGATCTTTTACACTAGAACACTAACCATAAAGTTACACCACTACTATAGGCATATCATACCCAATTTTGAAAATATCAAAAATATATTAAAACTTTATTTGAAATATTTTATATGCAGGCACTTCAAACTTTGTACTTTGAGTTAACATTAACTTAACATTAGGAACTGAAAAACATTATTTCGGTAAGAAAATCAGATACTGAAAATTGTAATTAAAAATAGGAAAATTTGCGCTGGGTACTATATATACCCATGGCTAGTGTTCTAGGGTTCAGCTGCTTTGGTATTTTATCAATTGCCGTCACATTAACAACCGTGATAGTTTGAGGGAGCTGGGAGAATCTAAATTACGTAGATCGCTTTATTTTCAAATTATTTCGGGTGGGAGTTAATTTCGTTTTTTGACTTAGTTTCAACAATATTGCCATGTGACCGAGACGCTTTTTTTTTATAAAATGTTTATATCATGTTCGGCTTCTTGCAAAACAACACTTTCTCTTAAAATGTTTTTGTCAAATGTTTTAGACTTTGACCAGCCCTTCTCTCCACAATTTTTATTTTAAAAATGAATATATTTTTTAGTTTTAAACTCGGCCTTGTGCCACATCTTGCTGCGTGGGGCAGCGGGTAAATAATTTTGTGTAAAAAAAAAAAAAAAAAAAAATTGAAGATTTTTATTTTTCAATTTTGTAAAAAAATTAAAAACTACAATCGCAATTCAAGCAGACTTCGTTTATTACATGAACAATAACATTGGATTTTTAATTAATGAATCCTTGGTCAGATTATTTTTAAGAATAATTATACGTGACTAAAAAGAGTTAAAGATTATTTTTTTTTTTTTTTTCTGTTTACCAATTGCTCCGTCATGTTTTTACATAAATCTTTTATATTGGTTTTTATACCATGCGACTGCGGGGGGGTGGACGTGGAAACTAAATTACTACTAAATAACAATTCCTGAGAACTTTTTTTTTTATCTTAGCAAGGAACTTGTTACTAATGTTCAATAATTAGTTAATTAACTACTATATTAGCAAGCATCTCCCAATTATTAACTTAAAATGCAAATGTACAAAGAACAAAAATACCATAAAATGCACACTTTAAAACTTTATCCACCTTTTTTAAATTTTTTTTTTTTTTTTTTTTTTAGATAATATTGCAAAAATAATTACTCTGTTTCTGATTTGTTACGTGTACAACTTGTTTCACAGAAAATGAAAATATTTATTTTACTATGATGCAATATTACCAGTACATATTGCTAAGAATTAAAAAAAATCAATTTACATTATTACAAGACACAAAATTAACAGGATAATTTAAAGTTAACCAATTCCATATATGTAAATATAGGGAAAATTGAAAATAAAAAAATATCTGGTATCTCTGTGGTATCCAGTTTTAAGGTCTCTGGTAAATTATCAAATGTTTACATTCAGTTTCATTCATAAGTGCCCACATTTTGAGATGGCCAGGATCAAAGTTGTATTCTTTGACTTGAACATTTAATCTAAGAAATTGTTTGTTTTTTTTTGTTTTTTGTTTTTTAACATTTTGAACTCTTATAAAATATGCACCTCCAGAACTTTGTAATAATTTTCCAAAATGTGGTAAATTCATCACTCATAACAAACTCCCTGTTTAGCAAATATCTGCAAACATTTAAGCCATTGCATGTATGTTCAATAACTAAAAAAGTAGTTAGTACCTCTTGTTAATGATTTAAATCGTTTTTTCTTTGCTTTCCTAGTTGTAAAATATTAAATTTATTATTGAATTTAGTTTTTGACATTAACTTTAAGTTCTTTTAATAAGTATCACTTTTTCATTAATTTTGCAATGAAAAACATTGCATTTTTATTTTTAATGTCTTCTATTTATTTACAAAGGACAAAAGTTCATACATTTTTTTTTAAAAAAAAACAAATTGCCCATAAAAAATTAATTTTATACTTAATATGGTCATTGTTGAAGAAAAATAGAGAAAAATATTAAATTTA